GAAATTATCAATGTATTTTTTCAATCAAATTTTTTAAACTAGTAAAATTTTCAAGATTTGATTAACTATAATCCCGTGAAACCTGAAGGAGGTTGAAATAGAGAATTACCTCCTAACTCCACTTTATTTGCAGCCAGTTAAGATGACATAAAAATCAGTCATGGCCAGATGCAGTGGCTCACACCTGTAATCCCAGCACTTTGGGAGGCCAAGGTGGGTGGATCACCTCAGGTCAGGAGTTCGACACCAGCCTGGCCAACCTGGTGAAAACCTGTCTCTACTAAAAATACAGAATCAGCTGGGTGTGGTGGCACATGCCTGTAATCCCAGCTGCTAGGGAAGCTGAGAGAGGAGAATCGCTTGAACCCGGGAGGCAGAGGCTGTGGTGAGCCGAAATTGCACCATTGCATTCCAGCCTGGGCAACAAGAGCGAGACTCCATCTCAAAAAAAAAAAAAAAAGAAAAAAGAGTCAGATAAAGATCATCATATCAGTTTTATTTTTGATAAAGCTCTACTGGAGTATGGCTTAGATTTGGCCTAAAATCGTGCCTCTCAATATTTTCCTTCAATGACTAGTCCTTGGAATATGAAGAACAAACCTTTTTATCCCATAGTAAGAGCTTTATACCCATCAAGCTCCAGTAACAGGGAGACTGAGAGCGAGACCTATCTTGTCCCTAGAAAGCAGGCATAGGTCTGAGCTGTTTGTGCTTACCACAAGGCAACAGAAAGGAAGCAGGATACTCACACACTTTGTGGCAGGCAGATCTGAGAAAGAAAGCAGGAAGGACACACACTTCATTGTCAGTGCCCTCTTGCCAATTTGCCTTCAATCAGTTTGTATTTCTTCACTTTAGGGGTTAGTGAATAAGGGATGGAGAGAGAACAGATGTGTTTTGTGGTTACTTTTCCCTTCGGGGGAGTGGAGTGAAAAACGGATCTCCTTTATGAAAACTTGAGAATTTCTTGTTTTATAGCAAATGCAAAGTGGCAAAAAATGATTAATGTATAATTCACATAAATAGTACATGTGCCTTAGATGTCTTTTGATTTGTTAAAATATTTCATTCTTATATAATGGTCATAGTTTTTGCCTTTGGGAAGTGTTCTTGATTTTTAAATTAATGTTTTAAATCCATTTTGAGCCTGATTGATGGGTTGAAGTAAGCAGATACTCACAGAGGTTATTCTTGGAGAGCAGCGTCATCATTGAGTCGCAGTGAGCAGAGGCTAAACAGATGTGCTCATCATAAGCCACTTGGTAGTATAACTGGAATACTATACTTCATAATTTTATATGAAAAATACTGAAGCTCAAAGAGGGAATTAGAATTATTTTGAGTAGAATTTTTTAGATGAAGTTCTGTTAATGCAGGTAATACTGAATTCATTCACTATGTTATATGGTTCTCTACGTCTTTGAGAAAAATAGAACTAAACAGCAATAAAAACTAAAGGAAACATTTTAAGAAAATATTTTAAGGTTCCCCAAAATATTGCTCTCCCGTTTGAATTTATAATGGTACCAAATACTATATACCAATAATTTATAATGGTACCAAATACTAGATGCCAAATACTAAATACCAAATAATTTCTTTCAAGATTGTTACGTGATAATTTACATGTAACAATCTTGAAAAAAACTATACGTGCAGTAAGATCTTAGGCAGTGTGTTATAGATGAGCTCTTATTTTCAGAAAGATTTCCTTCTGTGGATGTTAAAACTACATATTGTTTAAACAACATGAAAAAAATTAGTAGAATAAAAATTATAGAACTGAAAGTGTTCTTTTATAAAATTCTCTTGACCAAAGATGAATAACCTTGTTTAAAACTTACTAATCTAATATCCACAATCTACGAGGAACTCAAACAAATAAGAAAAAAACAAGTAATCCCATCAAAAAGTGAGCAAAGGTTATAAATAGACATTTCTCAAAAGAAGACATACAGACATCCAATAAACATATGAAAAATTGCTCAACATCACTGATCATCAGGGAAATACATATTAAAGCCACAATGAGATACCACCTTATGCCTGCAAGCATGGCCATAATTTTTCTTTCTTTCTTTCTTTTTTTTTTTTTTTTTT